ATGCCAGAGCATGAATAAATATGATAATTAAATATTTATAAAGAGCTCAAACTTTTATATTTGACAAACAGTAGAAGAAGTGGCTGCCTGCAAGGTTATATCAGGAAGTGTAGTTAACAGGAACGTGCTGTCTAAATGACACCTATGTGTGAATTGTGTATGAAATCCAGTCTGTACTGAAATCAGTGACAAAATTTTCCCTTTAAATGTGGCAAAGATTTCACCCTAACCATTATTTTGAGGAGTCAATGGCAGGCCCAGTATAAAAATAATTTGCCTAGGCATTTCAATAAAAGAAATACTGTAACAAGGTAGAGAGGCTCTAGGTGTATATTTACACAGGTGTAAACCTGTACAAATTATTTTTATAGCTGAGAGTTATGTTTATTGCTATCTCTGACATTCTTACGCCTAGGATTCCTAAGGGGTTGCTGCAATCCTGAAATCTAGCCATGTGTGCAGAAATTAGTTATAAAAATAATGTTTGGTATTAAAACTGTTTCCAAGGCCCATTTAAAAATTGTACTTATATTATCCCTTTTCTATAGATTTATAACTTCCTTTTCTTTGCTGAAACTCAGAAGAGGCATGCAAGGGAAAAAGCAGCCTGAAGAGGTCTTCAAGCTTATTTAAACACAAACATGATAAATGCATGAAATGCACAAAGCTACATTTTTACTGCATGCTTAATTTCTACATGGAAGTTACAGCATGTTGTAGTAAATTCAGACATCACAACAGTTCTCACACTTTGTGCTACAGGTCTTCAGTGTGCGGTTATCCTTAGAACGGCGCATCTCCTGTATATGCACCTGATGAACTTCCAAGTTTTCTTACAACTCATTTTGTTCTAGAGCACCCGTGAGGTAGTGATAGTATGTGAGAACAGAGCACTGTCCAGCTGCATACTGGCTTTATATCTATATTGGATCAAAAATCTGGTTTTAATACAGTTTAAATACAGCATTACTAGAGGCCTTTGAATATATGCATCTGTAGTTTCAGCTATAGCTACAGGTTGGATGAGCCAGGAAGCCAGGACTAGTTTTAATTTTGCAAAATACTTTCTTGGAATGGCTGGCCTAAATCATGCTGTGTCTTGGACTTAGATTCCAGCTTACAACAAACAAAAAGTTCACACTTTACAATGTGTTTTAAGAAGGAAGGCGAATGGCAATGGAAAAAATTAATTTCTGCAGAAGAAAATTAAAACGTAGAGCTAAAACGGGGAAAAAAGCAGGAATAATGGTAGCTGGGGCCAGTAGGGCTGTTCTATTAGGTCTTGTTAAGGAAGATAATAGATTTCCTTAGCTAATGCTCTACAATAGGTACTGGGATTAGTTACATAGGGGTTACCATCATCTCATCCAGGAAATCCTTGTTGGGAATTCTGCAGCACCCCCATGGGCTGTGGCCGAGCAGCAGCACAACACAGCCCCGTCTCTATGACAGTCTCTGCAACAGCTATTTGGAGTTAGGGCATTTCCTACTGGTGAACCTGGGGCAAAAGGAAGAGGAGAAGCAGCGCTGCCCTTGTCTAGCAGCTTCCCTGCAGAGAAGGAGGAGTTAGTCATATCCTTTCTGTGAGCCTTGCGGAAAGGGCCAGTGAATTTGAAGTGGGGCCACTGCTGCAGCACACCGGAAGTGCAGGCGGGGGAAAGATTGCAAAGGGTAAAGAGGACTGGGAGAGGTGAAACCCGCTGTGAGAAATGGACAATTTGGTATTGACGAGGTGGGAAATAACGGGAGCACGTCCAGCCATGAGGGCAACAGCACCCTGCCAGGTGCCATTTAAGATAAATGGGAGAGCTGCTTGAAGGGTGCCCAACTGCAGGAAGGAGGGATCTAGACTCTCACGTTAAATGCAATGTAAAGAACGTGTGGATAAGTAACAAAGCACTAAATTTGGAGCATAGAACCTTCCTTGTGTCTTTTCCGCACTGTACTCTCTTTAACTGAAGCAGGACCCAGAAATCCAGATACAAGGGCAAACTGAAAGCTTCTGTTCACCTAGCTGCTGGGAGATACTGATTTTGAAAGCTGCTTTCCCCACGGAGCCCCCCGGCTTTCAAGGTGAATTCCTCACAGAGGAATATGCACCATTGCCCATTTGGAGCTGGTTTCTCATATGGCTTCAGTTGTTCAGCTGCTACTAAGAGCATTTAGAAAACTATCCAAAATGTCGGAAAATGTACTTTTGCTTAAATTGAATGTAATTTTATTCTATACTTTTATATTATACATCCCTGCGTGTATACATACCTCTGATGTCTGGCAATTATCCTGCCGGTGTTCATTTTCTGTGTGCATTCGGAAAACGGTAGACTCGACTGCACTGTGTGCTTGTGTGTCGGGCCAGCGCTGCTTTCCTCGGTGGTGACCTTGCTGCTTTGTCTGTCCGTGCATCCTGGTGGGCCAGGGCCAGGGGTCAGAAGTGGGAAATCAGGAGGAATTTCCTCCTCTTGCTCAACTGTGGACACAACCACATTCAAGGCTGAGCAGTGTGAAGGGGAGAGGGTGCAGCTGGCTGAGCGCGGGCCGGATGTCTCCCAGGGGAGCAAGACGTGCTGTTGGGAGGTTTTGCCAGGCAGTCCGTTGAGTTGGCAGTGAGTTTGGTGGCTGTTCAGTCCAGCTAGACAGAAGTACATCCAGAGAAGCCTTGCCACAGAGTGTAGGGGTGGGCAGCGCTGGGAGCTGGCTGGCCACATAACCCTAGCTGCATTTATTTTTGCTGAGGGTGGAGTATCTGCTGGGAGAAATGCACAAGTTGTGCTGAGCCTGGAGTTTTCCAGCCTTACTTTATAACACATGACTTGTTTAAAAAGGGAGAGGGAAACCATAACCAATGAAAGATACTCCAGCCAAGCAAAGCTTCCTAAATTCCCAAGCCTCTTCCTCTTCCTCTCCTTCTTCTCTCTCAAAGAGTGATAGAAAATAAATATAAATATTGATGCTAGGAATATCGGAGTCTGGTGCAGGTCGCTTGCCTGCCTCTCCTAAATACGAGGAAGTGTTTTTTCTAATACCCCCTTCCTCGCAGTGGAGCTGGCGGATCCAGGCGTTGCATGTTATAGTGTAACAGCCACCCGGGTATCTGTGCTATGGTGGTACCTAAAAGCCCAGAGAGACTGGTGGTCCGGGTGAGGAGCTGGGGAGCAAGTGGAGGGCAGGCGAGTCCTTGCCCTGCTCAGGCCCAGGTTTACACCCTCCGTTCAGACACCCAAAGCGGGAGCCTAGAGGTGCCCTGTGGGAGCTGAAAAACACTCACATCTGGTTTGTTGGCCGGAGGAACTGCTCTTTCTCACTTTCCCTCTGATGGTGCAGAGAGCCGGGGGAAACCAAGCTCCTAACATGAATGAGGAGGGTAGAATATGGACCCCGTGCCTCAAAGGACCACTACAGGGCAGGCCGTTCAGACACCCAAAGCGGGAGCCTAGAGGTGCCCTGTGGGAGCTGAAAAACACTCACATCTGGTTTGTTGGCCGGAGGAACTGCTCTTTCTCACTTTCCCTCTGATGGTGCAGAGAGCCGGGGGAAACCAAGCTCCTAACATGAATGAGGAGGGTAGAATATGGACCCCGTGCCTCAAAGGACCACTACAGGGCAGGAGGGAGGGACAGGGAGGCTTGCTCGGGGCCGCGAGGCAGCCTGTGTGGAGG